AAAAAAAAAAAAAAAAGAACTGAGGCTTTTCTGAGGAAAAAGAAATTCCACCTGTGGACAGCAAGCTTCAGTTTGTGCCTGTGATTCCCAGCCTCCTGCATGACAGCCTGCCCTCTGGCCTTTAGATCTGCCCAGCCAGCCCCACAATCATGTAAGCCAATTCTTGCAATAAATCTCTTAATAAATATCTTCTACTAGTTCTGCTTCCCTGGGTTAAATGCTGAGATAGCCATGAAATTTTTGTTTCTTTTTGCATTAAATCTAATTGACTGCACCTTGACATAGAAGGCAGAAACTTCTCCTAGAGGTTCTCTTTATTATGAATGAGTTGAGTGGGGCTAGTTATTTTCATGATAGATGTGAAAATGCTTTTAATTCAACAGGTTCCTCTATTTTGCTATTTCTTTCTTACCTTTCCATTTCAGAAAAAACTATCAGATGTATAATAGATTCAATAACAACTTTCCTTTGTAAATCAACCTTTTATAATTTAAAAATAAATATATTTAGCTATTGCATATAAGTGAAAAAGAGAAAATAAAACCCTCATGTCTAACTGGCAAAAAAGTTGAAACTCATATAAAAATAAATGATATTTCCTTAAGATTTAAAAGTAGGTTTTAGAAAGGCCTTAGATTTTAGAAAAGGAAGTGCAATAAGAAATCATTTCATCAAAATAGAAGCAAACATTGTCACTGCTTTTGCCAGTGACAATCCAATTTCAAATGACTTAGCAGGAAAATTTTTACAACTCTCCTAGACAGAATGTCTTAAAACTGTCTCTTAATACTGATAGTCTTTTGCCAAGTTTCATTTCATCCTTAATTACTCTGAGAATTTCTAAAACTAGAAAACACATACAGGCTTTAAAAGCTAATTTGAAAATAAAAACCCAAAGGAAGCAGGATTTGAAACTAAACTCAGATTTTAATTTAACAGAAAGTATTATTCATGACAATTTTTTCTAAGATAAATGAAGCAGTCCTTTTAAAAAAAACTTCACTTTTAGAAATGTTAAACATTTATTCATTTTCTTATTGGGAGCTCTTTTCCTGGTTGTAATAAGAATATGCACAAATAATCATACATTTTGATTTTGAATATTGCAACCCAAAATTCAAAGTGGTTTTTTCATATAGGTTAGGTACTATTGTAAAATAAATTAATTTAAATTACAAAGGACTAGTACCAATATATATCTAAGAACTGTATTACCATTTACTTGTAATAACAAACATGTGCTTTGACGTTTTCATTTATTATTATAAAAATCGAGTTTTCAATGAAGACTATGGTTGTGAAAATAAATTTGAATTAAACAGTCCTTTAAACATAAACTAAAAATCATGGAAGAATAAAATGTCAAGCAAGTGAACACTTTTCCTGTGATATATACATAAATATTGTCATGTAAACAAAAGCAAAGATCAAGATTAAGTTAAATATCCTTGTCAGCAACTGAAATACATAGATTAAAATGGTTATTTTATGTTCTTCATGCTTCCATTGAACACAGCTGGCATAAGCACAGCAATAGGAACTGGATGAATCTTTGCATTCCCCTCATACGCTTAAGGAGGATACATACAATAAAGATACCTCTCTATGAGAAAAGAAAATATTAGAGGAATCAGACTCCTGAAAATCATGACTTTCAAATATTAAGTCACCTTTTTTGCTCTTCTGTGAAACTACATGGTTTATCAGAATTTTGCCCGTTGAAAGACGGTAAAGCTGACACTGGAGTGGTCCAGCACTAACACGAGTGGCAGCAAATTAGGCACAATGATACACAGACTTTCCTCTCAATGCAGATTATCCATGCACTAGGAGATAATGGCTTCCAACACAAAACAAACATTTTTTGGATAAAACAGACAATATTTAAGTGGATATATTTTCCACAGGAGTGTTTCTTTGAAGTATGCCCCAGAGACCACTTGAATCAGCATCAGGCCAAATACTCAACAAAATTAAAGTGTGCATTTGTGGGCCCAATCTCAGACCCTCTGGGGGCCCTGGGGATCTGTACTGTTAACAAGCCCCCCGGGAATACTTAGACACAAATTCATATGAAAGTTTGAATATCACTCTTGCAGACTATTGGGGATTTCTTTTGACTCTTTCTTTGAGCACAAATATTTCATTATCTCTTTCCTGCTTCTTACTTATTCGCCAGAAGGAAAAGCAAAACCAAAAACATTTCTAATTTTGTCAGCCAGTGGTGATAACTAGTAGCTGTACTTTTTTTTCCCTCAAACAAATATAGAAGAATAGGCAACATATGATACTGCACCTAAATTTTTCAAAGGTACACCACAGTACTTTCTTTTTTAAAGCTTTCAAAATGTATACATAATAAAAACGTTCAAAATGGTTTGTAAACTGTCATCTGATCAAGATGATCCAGTGTAAAGAGAACTGCTATTCAGTGTGGTTGCTGAATTCTCACAAAGGCCCCTCACGGTTGTCTTTCACAAACACTGAGCCTCTTAGCAGGCACCCCAGAGCTGTCACCAAAGGATGCACTGCCTACCAGGCAGCACTAAAGTACCTAAGGATTGCTCATAAAAATAGGACAAAGAAAACAAAAGCTCAGTTTCAGCTCCGACCACAAAAGGAGTCTCAAGACCTACTGCCAATATGTAAGATGAATACAGATCATGCTGACTTTCCTCAGAGAAAGTCTAATTTCAAATATACTTATTAATATCTGCCTGAAATCTAGTTTATATTGAAAGTGGAAAGCATGATACACTTCAATGTGCTACTAATATCTACTACAGTGTTTATGTTCTATAAGATCCCTATGGATAAAAGCAATTTTGCCTGTGAATAATATAAATTAGAAACCAAAGAGGTAGGCAAGTATCATCAGAAGATGATCTCAAAACAACATGTTGAATAACATGCTTGAATCCCAAAAGAGAAGTTAACTGGAAAATGAGTTCCAATACCATGACAACTGCCTCAAGAGCAGGGTTTCCCAGGTCTTTCATGATGACATCCACCTTCCAAAGTCCTGATTCCTGATATGGTGCCATATGCTCTTCAGATATTCAATTTTAAGAAACATCTAATGAAGTAAAATGTAAAAAAATAATACTGGAGACAAAAGAGTGAAGTTGGTATCAGCTGGGCTCTTTAAAAATCTCTACTCTCGGGCTTCCCTGGTGGCGCAGTGATTGAGAGTCTGCCTGCCGATGCAAGGGACGTGGGTTCGTGACCCAGTCTGGGAAGATTCCACATGCAGTGGAGCGGCTGGGCCTGTGAGCCATGGCAGCTGAGCCTGCGCGTCCGGAGCCTGTTCTCCACAATGGGAGAGGCCACGACAGTGAGAGGCCCGCGTACTGCAAAAAAAAAAAAAAAATCTCTACTCTCACATTAGAGTTGGACAAGACCTTGAAGATTCATCTAGTCCAACTCTCTGGTTGTACAACTGAAGAAAAGTGGCTCATTTCCCACTGGTCACAAAGCACTATAATTCTGAAAACATGCTATAAATCCAAAAAGTGTTCAAGGTTAACTTGCCTATTTATAAAGCCCATGATGTAGCCAAGAGGCTACACTTTCAGCACTTATGGCCATAGTCTGAAGCTCCATCCCTGGGGGATGTTTTATAACATGTTCCCATGATTAGAGAGAGAAGGGCACCAAAGGCCGTGGTTGCACCTGGGGTGGGGGAGAGGCAGAACATCATCAAGAGAAAAATAATTTGAAACCCCAGACCTGCCTTAATGAAAACTTGCTCTAGGCTCAGTCCAGGGCTTATCTTCACCTCTTTACAGGAGACACACCTCTGAGCACATTCACATTCTTCAATAGCCAGCTCTGCTCTGGCCAAGCACTGGGGCAACAATGCTGTTCTGCCCAGAACATTGAGAAATACAGCTGGACAACTGGAAACATCTAAACCCACAGGGCAAAGACCTATATACAGCTGAATTTAACTTCTCAGTAATTGTCACTTGTTTTGCAAACCAAAAAATTGCCTTATTTCCTTATACCCTTACTTACCTAAGATTTTTAGTTCTTCTCTAAAATGGTAGTTATAAATGATTTTATTTTTTCTTTTCTATTTTCCAGACTTTCTGTAATGGTTTCACATTTCTTTTGGTAATACAAAAAATGAAGCTATTTTTAAAAAGAAGGTTTTAGTCTAAAAGAAAATGAAAGGATACACATAGTTCCCTCTCGACTCTGAAACGTCCAAACCTGAACCTGAACGAGGTGTCCGTGTGGTACAGTAGAAATGCAGTCTCAGGACTCGGACAGAGTTTTGGATCCCAGCTCTACCACTAACCTTGGGCAGGGTTTTAGTCTGAGACTTGCCTTCTTCATCTGCAAAAAGGAAGAAATAATACTTCCCTCACAGGATGCTGTGAGGATAAAATGATGCACAGGGCCTGGCACATGGCAGACGTCTAGTAAATGGTGCCCTTCTCCCCACTGGACTCAGAGAATCCTTGGGTAAAAGGAGTGGCCACAGCCCGCACCAGCCACAGCCTCACTGCATCCCATTTAAATTTGCAAGGGTGCTCTATCTCAACTCTGCCCTACTGCTCTGAAGAATCACTATTGTGCTTAGAAAAAGTTCTTCATTTTTATGTTCCCTCCTTTAAAACTGTACATACAGACAAAACATTTTTAAAAAACTATCTTCCTAGAAATAATGCAATGTTTCCTAAAGCACAACATGTCATGTATAAAAACAATTCTGAAAAACATGACAATTAGTTTGTACATTGTTTCTTAAAGTGCACCAAAGTAAATATTCATGACCTTTAGAATGTCACTAACCCCCTTGGGTTATTTTTTTAAATAAAACTAAATATTTATCTACTGAGATGTATGTGGTTTTTGGCTCCAATGTGATGGCAAAAAGCAGCAGTGTCTTCCAGAAAAAAATAATTGATAAACTCGACAAAGCATATCTTAGCAGCATACAGAATACCTACAATTCACTGTAACTGCAGGCTCAATAAAGCACAATCCTGATTCCTACTAGAAAAACAAAATCAATCAAAGGAACAGAAAACCATCTCCCCACCCTACATCAAGGATTTCTCTTGAACCCTGGAGGTAACACGTGTGATCACTTCCCTATTGTGTATCCTTGGTAACAGACTTATAACTAATCACCATTCTTTCTTCACACTGCACACACACACACACACCCTATGAAAAACAATATAGTTTAAGTGGAGAAGCCACGAGAAAAAAAATCAAAGTCAGATAAAGAACAACCATCACCCAAAACGTCAGGCAGTTCCAATATTCACACCACAGTCCGATGTTCCCCACACACGTAGACAGCACTGGGGCGTATCCGTCGCCTTGTGTGGCCAGGGAGCCGCGGCAAAAACTTGAGGGACTTAGGCATCATGTCCAGGCAGGCGTCATGGAATTTCTTAATCCTCCAGTAGTAAATCAGTGGGTTCAATGCAGACTTGAGGTAGCAGAGCCAGAGTAACCAGGTGCTAATCTCAAAAAAGTTGTGTTGATAGTAAAAGTGCTTGCTGAATGTTGCCACAAGGCTGTAAGTGGTGAATGGGGCCCAGCAGAAAATGAAGACAGCAAAGAGAATCAAAATGGTTGTGAAGGCACGTGTTTTAAAGCCCATGTCAATGCTCATCTGGAAGGGTCTCTGTAGACTCATGAGACCCAGTTTGCTGGCCTGGCTGAGGCATATACCTTCAGGGTAGCTATGGATCCTCAAGGCATTGTGCCGAAGGGTATTGAGTATGCCCATAAATGAATACAGTATCACCAGGAAGGGTAGGAAGAAAGAAATGAGAGAAATCAAAATCACATAAGCCTGGTAACCTGGATTGGTTGTGTACCCAAACACACACTGCGGGGCTCGGGAAGGTATCTGCAGGTCAGGGTTTCCTACTGCCAAAGGAAAAGCTACACAAAAAGAAGTTGCCCAAGAAACTGCAATGAGAACCTTAGCCCTATATGGATTCAGCTTATCCTGCCTCTGGACTATAATAAGAAACCTATCGATGCTAATGATGAGCAGGATGGCTACTCCCTCTATCACAAACAACCAGAAAAACATAGCAGATACCCTACAGAAGAATTTCCCAAAAATCCATCTGGTGGTAAGAATGGTGACCAAGGCAAAGGGCATGTTCAGAACTGCAAGCAACATGTCTGCAAAAGCCAGGCTGGCCAGGAGGATGTTAATGGCGGAGCGCATGGCAGCTTTTTGGTAAACCATGAGGCACACAACCAAGTTCCCAAGAAAAGACACAAACAGAATAAATATCATTATAGCAGAAAGGATGATCTGGAGAGGCAAGTTTAGGCTCCTTAAAACTGCTGGTGTTGGGGGCACAGCTGTACTATTCAGTGTCAAGGAACTCATCCCGGTGGGAGCCATGGTTTCAAAACTGTATCTAAGCAGCAAACCAATGTCGGGATGCTGGAATGGTGGAGGGACCGTAATATTCATGTTGGTGTTTTCATAAACTACGAATGTTGTGTTGGATGCCCCAGTATGGGACGCAGTCAACACTGCAGAGAAGACCATGGTTTCAGCAGGATGGAAGGCGCCGGCAGAGATGTGTTCTTCAAGTATTTCAACACAGAGCAGCAGTATCATGTTTCACTGATGGGCTTGGAAACACACTCTGGAAAATGCACAAAGACTTCCATCTTCCATAGGAGTCCTTTTGCCTGAAAACAAGCCCAAAACACAAAAAAATGAATGGGAATGAGTTTTGTAAATAATATTTGACTTCTTACTTTTCATCATGAAGGACCAGTTTTCTGCTTTTTTTAACCCTTTAAAAATATTTAAGTCTCTAGCTTAGTCATCACGAAAGTACTGTTGTTCTGTTGTTTCATTTTTAGTCAACTACAATGGAAATTTCATGACATTCATGTATAAAGTGAAAGTGAAAAGAATGAAAATGTATTACTGCCTTAAAGGCAAAAATTATAACTTTACAGTTAATTTTTCTTTTAAATTTCCAGGAGCAGCATAGCTTTCCACAGTCACTATTAATATAGATTTTATTGATAATGGCTCTCCTGAGAGTATTCTTGATAGCTCTTTGGTACATGTTCATATTCCATTTTTACATTAGCACAAAACTAGTTGGCAAAGAGCCTTGAAATCAGTATCCTATTTAACACATGATAATCAGACACTTTTGCTTTAACACTTTCACAAGTAGGTACTAGGTTATTTCCAGTGAAGGGTCTGAAACAGTTTCCTGGCTTTCTATTTTATTTGTAAGTGTTTCTTCCCAGAAATCCCACCACATAACTACTGGAGAAGTTATTCAAGAAGAGAAGAAAAATTATCTGTAAAACGTCTTGGTCATATTTTTAAGACTTCCTTTCTTTTCTAAAGCTCTCTTTGCTTCTCCTGTTCTCTCTTCTTTCCCATGCACCCAATTCCACCCTTTATTTTCTGATACAAATACTCCTATCTTCTCAATTTCTTCTCCCTAAGCCTTGTATGTCAGCAACCTGATAGATGTCAACCAAGAAATAAAGATGGGCATTCTAAAGAAGATGACTAGGAAAATATTCAGGCGTGAATAATGCATTCTAGAAAACATTTCGTTTCCTTGCTCCAAAAAGTTTATCACCTTCCTCTTATCCTAACCCCCAACGTCTTAATTTCTGTGACCCTGGAGTTTTCCGTAAAGGACTTCCTTAATCAACTATCTTCCTAACCCACTTGTTATGTAGGTTCTTACTTCTTTACTGGAGAGGTAGCTTTAATCTCTTTAATTAGAAAGAACTCTCTTTGGATTTCTGGGTAGATTCCTTTAATAAACCCCTAAGATTGAGGGGGGGGTGCACAGTAGTTTAAGACAATGCTGTAATTTTCTCATTATTTGGATTTACAATTACTCATTGACCTTAGGGGTAAATGCCAAAAGTTCATTTATTCATTTCCTATAGTATTGAGGGTAGAAGCATCCCATTTACAAAACCCAAGATCCAGCACTGTAGCCAAATCATTGGCTCTCTACTATACTCGTATCTCTCTGTAATCCCCAATTTGTGGTGCATGGCTAACCTTATGAAGGAGGAGAATATTCATCTGTTTGTTCAAAATATTAACTGTACTATACACTTTCACTGTTATAGCTTTATTTCTTTGTCTCTACTATATGTTATCCATCCTCACACGTTCACTTTGAAATGCAAAACATACCTGGATAAGATGCCCCACTAATCCAGTGACTCCCAAACTTTATTAACCACAAAGGGCCAATGGAAAAAGGGGCAGTGGTAGCTTTACACCATAATCACCACAAGTCTCTTTATAACTACCTAAATATACATACAAATAAGAATAAAGACTGTGCTTACTACATAAATCAGCCTCAATATGATTCTATCTCTAGAGAAAAATTATAAATGTGTACCTTAGGCAAATGTGTATATTAAGCCTAAGGTAACAGTGATAACTGTGCTTGACTAAGTAAACAAACATATCCATCCTGAAGATAGCACACACTTTAAAACACTTAGTTTTCTTGACCATGTTGAAGAACTAAAACAAAAAATGGAACGGAGCCAAAACAAAACCATAATTTAAAAGATGCTTTTTAAGGTTGTTACATGTGTATATATAGTCACAACATTTTACTGCCATTATAAAAACTTCTAACTCAAGTCACTCAATTATTCATCCATCAAATATTTATTTCAGAGCCTACTATGAGCCAGGCACTGGAGAGACAGTGATGAACAAATGGTTCCTGGATTTCTGGTTAAACAGGACTGAACCACCACCTCAAAATTACACTGAAAATGACAGTAAAGGGATTTTTAAAAATAAAATGTACAACTCAAAAGGACAAGAAGTATGAATGAAAGATACATCAATAGATAAGAGATTTTTTTAAATGTTTCAAAGCAAAAGGCAGATGGTGGTGTGGTAACTGAACAGAGTAGAACAGAGAACTTTTTATCTTCAATACTTACACAGAAATATGCTTAGAAGAGGCTGAAACACCCTGTAGATCCCCAGAGCAGCTCTGGATTAGGAGGTGCCAGTTACCACAGTAAGTGTAGGTGTGGCTGAAAACTGGGAAATTGAAAAATCTATACACAGAGCCATCGGAACCCCACTCCAGGCTCGGGGGTCTTCTCCAGCAACCACATGAAAGCACGTACTCCTGTGCCAGTAGCCCAGTCACTGGCACAACTGAAGCTGATAAGCACTAAACTTTAGCATATTTGTGCAGGGCTGAACACAGCAGGACTGGATGAATGTCTGCACATTCAGCATGAGAACCTAGCCCCCATCTCCACCCTGTTCCCAGACAGCCAGCAGCCAGGCATATGCTACCATGCAGGACTGAAAGACTCGTCTTTTCCAGTAACTTAAAAAGCCCTAGAGGAAAAAATTCTAGATACTAACATTTGATGGTGTCCCAAGAAAAATGCCAGCTTGGTGCCCAGTTATCCTGGATACTGAAGCCCACCCACTATCAAGGCCAACCCCCACACACAGAGCTTCCAATCAGTTTTTCAGTGCTCATTAAATAGAAATGGTAAATTTCCCAAATATATAAAGAATCTATAAAAGGATTAAACAAAAGCAATATTATAGTTAAACATTAAGGAAAAGAACTGGAATTTCTAATAACAGGGAACGTAACATACATGAAGTTAATAATGCCTTTGCCCTGGTATCTATCTGTACATGCTCTTCATTCATTGTACTCCTGGCTACCAGAATAGGAATATTCTCTGGCCTTTCTTTTCTCACTACAAAGTGTAATAACCAAAGCAGAGCTTTTGAATACTCATTGTAACTATGTTGAAAGATTCTTTCCTCTTAGATATTCTCATCAAATACCATTGTGACCTGCAGTTTCTTTGAATTTCACAAAAGACTAAATAAAAGTTTTATACTTAAAATTTGTACTTCCACAGAAAATGGGACAGTAGCAACATAAGAACAGTAGAAAATTAGCTCAGGTCTGTAATACTTGCTTAACAGTCCTAATGTTTAATCTAGGCTAGTCTTTATTTGTCAGAAACTCTCATTACATATTCTAAGTAAGAAAAAATTAAAGTTGTATGTGAAGGTTTATATATATGTGTATATATTCATACACACACATACATATATACACACACCTCACATGTATGTACACACGTAAAACTCACGTATGGCAGAAGTGATTGAATTTATGATTCTTTCTCTTGTCTTATAGCATGTACAGAAACAACACTGGGGCAATCAGATTAATGACACAAGTAAGTGTTTTATGTTTCGGGTGCGCCAGAATTTCACAATTACTGGGGCTTCACAGGCTGGAATGGGCAGTGGAGGTTGTAGAATTCCCCTGGTCTTCGTCCTTTAGTCTTATCTGCAATTCCAGTGCTTTAGATATTTGTTTCAATTCTCTGAAAAAAGTATATGCTCCTAAAAGGCATAGACTGATTTTATAAATCTCACTGTCCCCATGAGTACTATGCTTTGCACACAGCCAATGCATATATGGTAAATTATATTTATTTGCATTATGCTTTGTCAGATCAGAGAATTTCTTCTTTACTCATTTTAATATTTATACATTATATGCACATAATTTTGCTTAAAAAATTATCAAAAGATTTTCAATGACAGTCAAATCCTGTACTACCCTTCACCATTCCACTTCTGTTTTTAGAGGTAGTCATTTTTAATTATTTTAAAGGTTTTTATCAAAAGTACTTATTCTTTATATATCTAAATAATATGAAGAAATTGCTTTTTGATTTATCAATATTGTATATTATGTCCTGATTTCCTATTAGGATAAGGGTTTACCTGCCATAGCACCTCCTAACTTACTTCTCATCCCTTCATACTACCAAAATCTTTATTTGAAAATTTTGAATTACAGAAGTTAGTGTTTCTATTAATGTATTTAGGCTAATAGTATATTTACTGATAAGCTAAAAGAATGTTTTCTTTCTTGTATAAATTTTGGATTTCCTAGAATAAATAATTTACTTTTTATTTTCAATTTTTAAAAATAACTATCAATATTTTTTTACCTGCTCCACATGAGAGATTTTTTTTTTTTTTTTTTTTTTTTTGGTACACGGGCCTCTCGCTGCTGTGGCCTCTCCTGCTGCGGAGCACAGGTTCCGGATGCGCAGGCCCAGCGGCCATGGCTCACGGGCCCAGCCACTCCGCGGCATGTGGGATCTTCCCAGACCGGGGCACGAACCCGTGCCCCCTGCATCGGCAGGCAGACCTCTCAACCATGCGCCATCAGGGAAGCCCCACCTGAGAGATTTTATACCTAGAAGTATTATACTTTGGAAGGTCAGATTTATCAACTACATTTTCATCTTGGAGTCATTCTTTTGGCCTCATGTCCCTCCCTGAAGTGATACACTTCTCTCTGTTACAAAGATGCCAGCCAGAAACATCTCTTTACTACCATCTTGGAAATCCTCCTTTCTGCCTTGGGCTCTTGGCTTCCATATTTCCTAGATCCTTTGTCTTCCACTTCACTGCTTCCTTTTTGTTCACTTCCTTCTTTTCCAGGAACCAATTGCTTTTGAAGGAAGAACACAACGGAGGTAAATTTTGAGTCCTGTATGTTTGAATAAGTCTTTATTTGTTCATACTAATTGTCTCAGTTTAGAATTCTCAGCTGAAAATAATTTTCTCTGAGAATTTTGAAGGTGTTGTTCTACATCGG